TTGTTGTTTATTTTTTAAAATTTAATTTTTTTAATTATAATTTTACAGTGTTGAGCATAATCTTGTATGTCTTTACAATTTAAAAACTCCTTGAAAAAGCTTTTTTTTGCAATAACGGACCCTATTGGCACAAATTCATAAAAGCGGACCCTGGTTGAAAGAATGTGAGTAATTTTTTCACAATTTCACGAAAAATGGACCTTTCACAAAATGTCTGGACAGACCCCTGGATGCTTATTATTAAAATAATTGCGTATACTATAAAAATATTATTATTTATAAATTAAAGTAAAAAATAACATAAGGAAATGAGTTTTGGGAACCACAAAATATCCACAAAGAAATCCATAGTTGTTTTAAAAGTTTTTATGGTGTCTAGAATAAATATGTCTAGACTTTAAATTAAGGGTTTTGATATTTCATTCTGAAAACCTATAATAAATAACGATGATGAATACGATAGGCTTCTTTAATATTTACTTCACTGAATTAAAGTAAATAATAATACTAATAAAAAGATTGAAAATGTTTAATTTAATGGATGATGTAATAATGGATAATCTGATGGATAATGTAAATGGTTAAAACAATATTATGAAAAGAAATAGTAAATTATAGTTTGGAGATTTTAATTTATTAATATTTTAAATTGCTAAATACAACAGAAGTTTAATTAAACAGTTCTTTGGACAAACAGTTCCAAGTCGCATGCTTCAAGAATTTATAATTTACAAGATCGTTAGGACGATTAGTTTAGTTAACACAGCTTGTAATTTCTATATTAATTTTAACGAGACTGCTTTTTAAAAATCAAATACTCTGACTTAATACACTAAACAATAGGAAAATTAAGCATTAAAAAACTCTCCCTCAATTTTAATCCAAACTTTAATGTATTTTTGGAACATTTTGTAACTTTGAATAGAAGTTCAAGGGTAGATTCTCACAATCCAACCTTTGAGGGTGCGCCAAAAACATGCAAACAAATAGAGGCGTCCCGAACCCAGGGTTAAAAGGCTTTTGCAACATTAATGTTTACGCACAGACATTAACATAGTTTTTTACAACATGCCTCAGGCAAATCGTTCCAGAGAAGGTCTTTTTTTCTTCAGAAATAAATTATACACTTATCTTTTATATCAGCATTAATTCAGTTTTATTCTGGGTAGTAATAATTGAAGTGGGAACGCCAGATTTCAGTTAATGGCAACTAATTTAATTATTTTAAAGAAACATGTATGAGAAGAAAATATTGTCTTTGATACACACATAATTCATTTCAAGTGTTAATTAAAAAATAAAATTAACTAGTTGTATTTTCTTTTCTTTTTGTAAATTCTTGTACAAGTAAGTCATTTTAAGAGCAAGGGGGGGAAAGTCAAAAGCATTATAAAATAACAGAAATTGCTAAATTAAATCTGCAATCAAAAATTATTTCTGTAAATAAATACATTTTGGTTTTTAAAAATTTAGTGCACTGATGTCTTAAAGGATTTGTAATAATGAATAATAAGTGGATTTTTTTTATTGTAATGAGTAATATTTCTTCAAAATAATGATAATAATAAATAAAAATTCTATTTAATTTCACACTAATATAATACTAAAAGAAATTAGATACCATAGTGTACTGTTTACTAATAAATTTACGACAAATTTACGTCCGCTAACTAATAACTAATTCCTTCTTTATATACATAAAACTACGTTAGCCGAAAAAAATAACTGAAAATAATAACAGTATTTATTTTAAACTTAAATAAATCTTAACACCTATTAAGATACGTTGCGCTTTATAAAGAATAACAGGCATAAAAACATATTTCGTTTACGATAAAAACTACTTCTATTAAAATTATAACTACAAATATGAACTAATTCACGGAATACATACATGCTAATAACAATCACACTGTTCATAAAATTGAAACAAAAATAAAGAATTTTCAAAAGATAGTTCATAGCGTTCTTTACTAAATCTACACAAATAATTTTGAGTGGAAACCCGTTATTTCAACACCCATGTAGAGCTTCCAGTCCCCATAGAATATTTTTAGATAATAGACACCTTGATGATCCATTTCCTTTTCTGCGGACCACAAAATAATCACTCACTGGAATGTCTGACCACAGGTGATTATTCTGTAGAAGGAGATACTGTGGTATGGACCTCACATGGACATGAGAAAATGGTTAAGGCAATTGGAATTTCACGTTCGAAATTCTCAGAATCAAACGCAAGTACTATCCTTGGCGGAAAGGAAAGGTTACCCGATCCCTTTACTCCTTATCGACAAAAAAAAAAAAAAAAAAAAAAAAAAAAAAAAAAAAAAAAAAAAAAAAAAAAATTAANTTTTTTTTTTTTTTTTTTTTTTTTTTTTTTTTATGGCATTAAGTATAACACAGCTGTTAACTTTCATGAACCTTGATAAACCCCGAAATACGGAAAACGATTTAAATGTACTTTTCACTGAAAATATATTTTTGTTATAGACATTTTTAAATTATAATTAACTTGTATAACTTGAGGATGTAGAATGGAAATTATTTATCGCTTGCGATTTGATAATATGAACCATTTGTCTGAGTTTTTAAATGCAGACAATTTTAATCAAACAATATTTCTGTACTATTCAAATTATAAAGTTAGTTTAATCAAAAATGATTCTGCAAATAAATAGAAGATAACTTTTACTTTTCTTATTTTAAACTACATTTAAAATGCAATGTGGATTTACTACTTATCTGCTGTTTCTAAAATTACGTTAATTCTTAAATAAATAGTTCCCGAAATTGACTAACACAGATTGTTTTCTAAATCAGTATTTACAATGACTTTGCAAAACAGTTCAAGTAAAAATCTTTCATCGTAATTTTTTATCGTACGAATGTAATTTTAATTATTTTTTTAATAAAGATCAAAATAAATAATTTCTTTCTTTTTTCTTGCAGAAAGTATTCAAGACTTAAAAAAAAAAGAAAAAAACATATGTAGTATGTATTGAAAATAAAATCATATTTTATTAGAAAAAGATATCGTAAGCTCATTAAATTATGCAAATAATTAAAAGACTTAAAAGAGTTTAAATTATTTATTAAAAACTATTACGCTAAAATTTATGGATAAAATTTATCTTCATAGAGTATGATCTTTACGTCTACAATTCGGCCTCACTTTCGGAGCCCCAAGAATTTTAATCGGAGCCCGAGATATACATCACATAAAAGCCTAATTTTGCGGTCTCGATATAAGGCCTTTGTTGCCTAAACAAGGGAATGCATTGCAATATTTTATTCACAAGCGTCTGTTTAAAAGTAATAAAAAAGTTTATGAAACTTTTATCAGGAGTTCGAGTCCGCGACAGGCCCGGCCTGAACCCGTTCTCATCTCAAGTCTACCCCATGTGAAATCTTCTGATGATGGCTCATAAGTGCGACAAATCCAGATAAGGCCCTCTATCTAGTTCGTCGCCTGTGATATTTATATGATTATTTATGATAATGAAAATTATCTTGTACGTTATAAAAGCATCAAACTACAAAATGTTGGTAGAAAGCACACAAGTTTCCTTTTGTTTCTACTCATGATTATAGAAGGTATAACAAATGGACAATGAATCAACAAAGAACTCTATAATAATAATTTTTTAATTTTAAAATGTTGTAAGTACCGTGAAAGTGCTGAGGGAGAAATATTTTAAATGATAAAAAAATTTTTTTGCTGTCACTTCATCTAATCAGTTTGCCAGGTATTAAATTGATTTCGAATCTTTTGCTCTTCAACCCCCAAAGCACCACCGCAAGACCAGCAATATAGCAGTAATAATCTAGTCCTTACTTTAAGATTATACATGCATATATGAAAGACATCAAAATGGTTGTCATAGCATGGCTTCGTAAGTTTAATAACTTTTTTTTAATCAAGTGATAGATTATATTAGAACAGTGTTAGATTTATTAGAACATAGATCAATATTAGAACAGAGGCTGGTAAATAATAAGCCACATGAGCCGGTACGTTTAACAATTGTAGCGATTCGTTATAGAAAATAAAATGAAATTTAAGGAGAAATATAAGGCAAAAATAAATTACCAAGCTAAATATTGTTTTAATTTTATAATAGCCGACCCTTGGGTTTATGACTACTAATGTTCAACTTCGTGGCCTTGTAATTTTGTACCCAATCCAGAAGACAAAGAAACTCCAGGAACCAGTATTGGGAGAAATGTACCTTCGTGGAAAACTTTTTGATGAAACTAACTTGCATTTGCCTTTCATGGAGATGAAAACCACGAAAACCCCCCATAGTTGACCTGACGGTAAGGAAACTCTAACCCATGATCCGTCTACCATTGAGAATATTTTGCGTCTGCACTGTGGTCGGTGTCAGCCGGGAGCGAATTCATATAGACCAGCCGTTGCTGGGATTCGAACCCGGAGCACCTTATTGGAAGGCAAGCACTCTATCCTCTACGCTCCATCGAAAGATAGCGCTCTATCCTAAAAAAATTAATAATTTTTTAACATTTTAACTTGCGCTATCTTAAATTTTATTGATATTTCTTCTTAAATGTCTCTATCAAACTTGATACGTGCCGATAATTTAAGTAATAGGAGTTATTTAAAAAGCATTCAGCATAAATTTCTTTTCACGATATTAAGCCTTATTTTTTTAAAAATCAGATTAACAGCATGCTATCGCAACTTTTCAAATAATTACTTGCATTTCACAAATTGATTTAAAATTCAGAGAATTTAAAAAACTGGCACTCAAAATTATCAATTATTAACTTTGAAAACCGGCGACCGCTCAAAATATAAATGATGAAATAAAAGATATTATTAAAATTTATTGAGTTTTTTTATTCTTTTGTACGCTATTTATTTAAAAGCATTTATAAAAAATAATTCAATTTAAGATGAAATAAAATGCAAATTATGAACAAATCTCACCGGGGAGGCTTACTTACAAATATATAACTATAAAAACAAATCTTACCTCCTAAAGCTATTAAAAGCACAGCACAAATCCTATGTGTCCAATTCATCTTGGTATAAAAAGTCACAAGAAAAAAGTTTAGTCCAAAATAAAAGAGCACGTGTAAAAGTTTCCAAACATAAGAACAAACACTACGGAGAAAACAACTTCACACACGATCATAAACACACACTTGGAAAGGGAAAAAGCAACACACGGTTCTTCGGAAAAGCTTACGATACGTCTCTGCAGCACAAAGACGCTTATCCTTTCTACCTGTGAAAGATGGAAGGAATAGAGAACCCTGCCAAGGGTTGCCGAATCTTCAGACTCNTTTCAGTAAGGAAAAAAAGTAGCGCATATTTAAGATTTGTAGCGTTCGAAAAATAATAAGTAGCCCAAAAAGTAGCAAGTAGCGAAAATTCAATTTTCAGTAGCGGGGACTTTTAAAAGTAGCCCAATCCGCTACTTGTAGCCCAATCTGGCAACACTGGACTCAGGAAGAGATTTCGCCAAATCTGAGGGACGCTTGGAGGGATTAGGCAGGCAGCTGTTAATTTTTTTTTTTAGTAAATTAATCCCTTAACCTTGTTAATTTCATTGGGTGTTTATTGGGATGATGTTAAGAAAAAATGTGCTTTGTTTTATATTTATCTTAGATGAGTTTCTATTTATGGAAGCGAAGGATTATTAGAAATACATGTAATGACTTTTTGATGAAAGAGTTATTAAAATACTTAAGTTGTGTGAAGACTAGTATGTATAAGGTAAAAAATAATCAGAAAAGTACAGAGTAAATGAATAGTATTCAAATTATATTTAAAATGTATTTTATTCATGCAAATACTACTTTAATCGATGTCCAATTATTCCGGTAAATTAAAATTACTCCCGATCCGAGCATTGAATGTTAAAATGATCCCTGAACAAATAATAATTTTTTGAAGAAAAAGAAAGGTTTTTAGCTTTATAATTTATTAACTAAAAAAAAAATTATATTTTTTGCATGCAATGTTAAATGCTGCTTTTTAATTACTATTCTTAATGTTATTATCATTTTAGCACTTTTCAATTTAGCGGGTGCAGGTAAATTCAGCTTTTTTTTTATCTGTTTATTTACTTCAAAAAAAGTTTTGGTGACCAAAATAATTACAATGAAACCGTTGGCCTCCCAATGAGGTGACCCCGGTTCAAATCGCAGCTGTGGCTGAGATTCAAATTTCACACCCGGCTCGCACCGACCACAGTGCTGACGACAAATATTCTCAGTGGTAGACGGATTATGGATCCGTGGGAGGTTTTCGTGGTTTCTCTCCCCATGTAACGCAATTGCGGGTTAGCTCCTTCCAAGATTCCTCCAGAAAGGCAAATTTCTCCCAGTAATTTATCCAAGTTCCTTAATCTTCTGGATTAGGTTCAAAATTACAAGGATACGGAGTCGAACATTGATAATCGTAGACTAAAAAATTGGGTCGGCTGTTCAACGACGGTTATAAAATAAAATAAAACAGTTGACTTTACATTGGCAACCTGATCACCTGCACCGGCGTCACTCTCCGTCATACTTGCGAATCGGTATACTCACATTAAACGGAAAAAAGTGCTGATAAAAACATCAGAAAAAAGTTGCGTTGCGACCAGAAAATCGAGCCTGGATTTTTTAAATATTATTTTAAAATTAATTAATAAACAGGGATTTGTTTCAAGTTTAAGGAAAGGAACTTTTCACATATCATGCTTTTTAATACTTTTATTAATATTTTTTTTCATGCTTTTTAATATTTTCATACTTTTTAATATGAGCTTTAAAAATTTTCCTAATAATTTCACTTATGCGATATGTTAATCTGATAAAAATATATCTTCAAACAAGTGATTTAAAATTTTAAAAAAACTACGTATTGTAATGAAATTTTCTTAATTTTTGTCAATATTTTTAACTTATTCTGAGATTGCTACACTGAGAGAGTATTGCTAATTGATACCTAATGTAAGATAATGTACTATTATTGCAGATGTATAATTGAAAAATGTATTTATAAAGTTTTAAAAATTTCTTTCTGCATACTTCAAATTAACCTTTGTATGTAAATTAATTTCTAAAACAATATCTTTTTACATAAAAATAAATGTTGAGTGGCATTAAATTTAGGCTTCACTACCTAAATGGCATGTTTTTTTTTTTTTAATTTCATATAATTTTCAAAGAGAACAACTTATCACCTCCATTTTGTTTTTGTAGTCCGATTTTAAAATGACTCTTTTTTTCAGTGTTTTTTTTTTTCCCCTTTTTTTTATGCTTCTTTCTCACAATGTTAATTTTGTCTTCTGAAAATATAGTTTTGCAAAATATTTCTAGCAAAGAATCTAATTGAAATAAATCAGATATAGCTGCAAAATTGCTGTTGTTTAGATAAAATTTTATATGTTTTTATGAGGGGAGACGTTTCACATATGAGGAGGAGGTCCCCATAAGCCATGACGGAATGGGCACATAGGGTATTTCTAATGATCGCCTTTCAACTGTTCCCTGTTACATCCAGCAATCAATCAGGTTTTGCTGTTGAACTGTTGTCCCATCTCAGTGGGAATTTGTCAGATTCCGATAGCATTTGTGTCTTATTTTCGCTTCAGTATTAATTTGCTACCAACCTTTATATAAATAACTTTTTGGTTTTGTTCTTGACAGAGATTTCTAAAATCTTCCATAACGAAGCACCCTACCTGCAAGTCGCTTTGACAGAAAATACTATCCGCATAGGAAATTTCATTTTTATTTTGTTTCTCTTTGCCTTGGAAATCATGGGGTCATCTACGAATGGCACCTGATATAATAAAAAAAATTTTATTAGGGTATTAATATTTAAATTGGTAAGCTTCAAGAGTAAAAGCTTCTTCGCCATTCCATTCTATTCATAAAAGTCGTTTATTTATAATAACGAACATTATTCCCAAACATTTGATCCGTTTCCGTTTTAAAAAATTGGTTATGTTACACAGATTATTAAGTGGAAATAATTACCATAAATATTGATGACACGAGTTGCAATTTAAATAACCGATGAGTACTGACTTTTCGTGAAAATCTGCTACGCAGAGCATTTCTAATAGCAAGTTTTTTTTAAAAAAAAGTTTTTTATTGAAATAAATTACCAAAAGTCACGTGTTTTTTATAGAACTATGAAAACGCCAGATGTTTGAACAAGACATGATTATATCATTAAAAACTGAAATTAATTTGTTTAGACAAATCAATAATTGAGCCGCTATTTTAGAAAGAAGAAACTAAGTCTATTTTGAGCTAAAAAGTCGTTTATTTATTTATTTTTTTTACGTTTTTTTTAATCGTTATTGCATTTCGACGTTTTATAAAACTATAGCGTTTTAAAAAGTATCACAAATTGACAAAGTTTTGTTAATATTAAGTTCATTCCCACATTTACCATTTAAAGCCCTGGACTTATACCACTTTCCAAATGAACTTAGTCAGTTTAAAAAATAACGGCATTATTTATTAATAATTTTTCCCTTTTCTTTTTTTTCCGCCTTTTTAAAACGTTACATGTGAATGAAAATATTAAGCTCTGTCAATGATCAATATAATATAGGTGATTATTTAATTGGGTACTTACACTTCAAAAAGAAGAAGATAACTATTTGTTTATGTCTTTTATTTACTTTATGTTATACTTACTATTTGCTTATGTCTTTTATTGTAACCGTGTTCTAATTTTGCTTTGTGTACCCGGCAACTTTGATGTATAATTAGTTTGTTTATGTTTTAAAATGCTTCCTGCGTGTCTTTGTGTTAAGTAATAAGAATTATATAGTGAAAGAAATGAAATCTTGGTGAAGGAATATAGAATTTGTTAAATAAATGAATTGATATTTGACGGGTTTTACTCGAAATAGAAATGAAAGAACAGTTGCGAACGTGAACAAATGGCACGTTTCAGCAACCAATCAGGATCGAGATACCCATTCAACGTCACTTGTAAGCATCCCATTAAATAGAATAGCATTCAGAGATGAACTTTTTAGTTTGGATGTCGCTCAAAAGGCGAGTATATGGAATTGAACGACATAGCTTGATACGTGCGTTTGAAAAATTAGACATACCTCAAAATTCGCGTTTAACAAATTGGATCTGACATAACTCGAAACACGTGTTCGAAAAATATAAGTCACTTGTAATGCGTATTTAGATAAATGAAAATAGCTCGGAATACTCATTAATGAAACAGAATATAGCAAAAAAATGTGGAATCTAAATACTAAGAGGACGCAATACCATGGGAGAAACCCTTCACGGCAAATTCTCTTTCGCGTCCATTAGTAATTTAAAAACTTAAATTTGAAAAAAGTGATATTTTGAAAATATATTTTCAACATTTGAAGCTTCATAAGTTACTCTACATTTGTGTGAAGTCACTTTTCTCTTAATTTTAATACACCAATGGAGATGAGACAGAATTTGCGATGAAAAATTTCTTCCACGATAGTGTTAACGCTATTTTTCGAAGGCATCGTCGTAATAATGAAATTAAAAAAAAGTTATTTTTTGCGAGTAATATGTTATTTCTATAACTGCTGTGAGTTTGCAACTGTAACTCGTGACTGTATGGTCAAGTTTAACCTATCTAAAGTCAGCGCTGTACACGCTTATTTTGAAAATGGCGCAAAACGTCAATATGGAGATAAGGCTCAATTACGTGAAAATAAAAATCGTTTGTGGTCTAATTTTTTAATGTTTAAAAGCTTCTTCAATGCTGCATTACTTGGGCTCATAAAAATTTGCAAAATTTGAGAATAAGGCAGTGATTTTGATAATTTTCATCTACACTCTTATTTATTATTTAATTGTGTGCGAGCTATAAGCTGGAATTTGTGTCTTTTTATTTCAAAAAGCAAACGATAATAAATCTAAATAAAATTTTTATGTTCTACGATCTAAATTAGTTATATTCTCGCTTCCATTTTAAGTTTAATTTTTTCCGGAGAATATGTCAATTAATATTTTGAATAAAGAAGAATTAAAAGAACATTTAGATAACAGCGGTATTTCTGAAGAAGACGCTTTTTTACTTTTTGGTAAGTAAATATACTTTGCTCTTATTTTTAAAATATTATAATTTAGAATATGTTATATACACTTTCCATTTAAATTAGCTGTTTTTCAGCGATTTTATGTAAAATGCTGGTCATTTAAATTATTTTTCAAGAGAAATTTATTAAATTTGAAAGCATTAGATGTGGATGATTATGGAATATTAAAAAAAATCTGATTCCGTGCTAAAATTTTTGTTCAAGAATGC